AGATAATGATGGTAGACCTTCTTACCCACGGACTTTTAAATTCCGCTGGTCCCTTATATATATACTAGCAAACCCGACGCCACCAGATGGTTTCGTGAGAAAAATGAGAATGAAATGAAAAATGTTCCGTTTGTTTTATATTTGAAAAGAAAAAATTTGATTTCACTACACAACAGTAATGAATTTATTTCAATTACAAAAATGAAGTGTTTGTTAGTTGAACTTCTCTAAGTAAATGAAAGTCAATCCGCAAATTATCCGTTTCATCCGAAGTGCTCTTCGGTAAACCCACATTTTTTTTTTTTTTGATCCGACGTTAACACAAATAAAGTGGATGGTTTCCCAACTCGTGAACAGGCAACGTATAACTGCGCATGTGAATAACAATGATTTTCTAAATAATCTATTTGAAATTTATCCCGCAAACACCTAAGGAGATTGGCCTTGCGGCTTGTTAATTGTCATTGCGAACGCAAGGCGAACTGGAAATTGCAATCGTTTGAAGTCAAACGGCAAACCAGTCGGAATCATTGGTATGTCACCAAATCGCCAGCAATTTCTGAATGAATGGTGAAATTCAGTGCGTGTACATCATTATTCTTTGCGGCAAGAATTGCTCGTTGAATTAACCAAGCATAATTCTGATAATTCTCACTAATGTCATTACTCGAATTTTTAATTACGCTGCGTAAAGTTCTAGCAATTTGCATTAAGGCACGATGCTATGCACCACTAATTTTCTGATCTACAAAACTTGACCTTTCCAACGAATGCAAAATTGTCGAAATCGGTTCGTGCGTTCTGGAGTTATATCGTCAGGAAGGAAAACCCGACTTATTTTTATATATATTACGTAGATATTGAAGAATATAAAAATGCATTAAATACTACGTAATATTTTTATTAAAATAACTTATCTAAATAGAACCACAAATAAATTTTGATTTTAATTTTATTATTAAATTAAATAATCAGTCATTTTGAGCACAAATAATATTACGCAAATAAAAAATAAATAAGATCAGATTTTATTCTCATTTCGAATTCGCATCTATCCATTTCCTATAGAAACCAATTCTAGAATAAACTCCTGGATAATCTGGTTCCGCGCATCGGACACCAAAGGACACAATGCCTACGACGACGCCATTCTCAGTCAGGGGTCCACCAGAGTCACCTGTGCAGGAGTCTTTGACTCCACCAGGAACGGTAGCACAAATTTGACTTTCGGCCAGGTCGAGGTGTGCCATGTAAGCAATGTAGCAGTCGTCGTGGTCTGCGACCTGCAAATCTACCTGTTGTAGCTCTTCTGGGTATGGACCAAGGTACTAAATAAATGAAAAATAGGATTATAAAATAGGTATACAGCTTATTATAACGTTTAGTAATAATTATTTATAATAAAATTGGAAATTTCATTGATAGCCTCATAATTCCAAATAATGTCGTATTATGTATTTTTTGCCAAATGTATTATGTAATCAATTATATTGTAAATTTTTAAGGAAACAAAATACATAAAAGTTATTTTAATGTTTGAATCAATGTTTGAATACATATTTCTTGAAAATTATATTTACTCTTTTTATATACTTTGATTACGTCTCTGTTTATCCTTTCATGAACTTTTGTTCAGAAAGGTCTTCATTTACATATTAATTTTAATTTAATTTTTATAAATTAATACTGTAATAATTGTTACTCAAGTTATTTTCATTTGGTTTCTTAGTTTTTTTGTGTTTTCCAAATAATTTGTATGGTAAGTTTACCAATTCGACTAATGTATGGAATGTTTGAATACATATTTCTATAAAATTTGTTTTGACTCTTTACTTTGATTATCTCTGTTTATTCTTTCACAAACTTTTGTTCAGAATGGTCGTCATTTACATATTAATTTTAATTTAATTTTTGTAAATCAAACACTCTTTATTGATCGTTTCTCAAGTATTTTTCGTGTAGTTTTTGAGTTTTTTATGCTTTCCAAATAATTTGTGTGGTAGGTTTACCAATTTGACTAATGTATGGAAGTCTCTTGAAACTTATTTTAGAAACATAATTTAGTATCTTTCTATCATATGGATGTATGCATGCAATTTATACAAAAAATAATAATAATTAAGCATTAGAATTATTGATGAAAAATAGGGAAATATTAGAAGGTCGATACTGGATAAAGAAATTATGAATCTATTACTAAAATATCTAATTGCAAACTAAAGATCAAATTCTGTAAAATAGTCCAAGATTAAATGAAACCAGATAAATGCATAAAGAGACTAATATTAAAATTGTTAATTGCAAAATAATCAAAATTTTTGTTCAAATAAACAAAATTTAGTTTAATCTCTAAATCAATTATTGATGAGCTTAATATTAAAATTATTAAATGCCAAATAACCAAATCTTTAGTAGAATAGACTGATAATTTACAAAAGTACTTTGAAGTTAAATTGATGAATTATTTATCTAATATTGCAAAATAACAGCATTTTTAGTGAAACAGACTGATTTTAATTAAAGCTAAATTTATAAACAAGTAATCCACTATTAAATTTACTGATTTTCAATACAATCAATGTTTCAATGAGAAAGACTAACAAATTGAAAGACCGAAAAATTTATTGAAGCTAAATGATTGCAAAAAAATTTAATATTTAAATTATTACTTGCAAAATAACCAATATTTTATTATTGAAAAACATACTAAAATAAATTGAAAACAAATGATGATTAAGGAATCTAACATTGAACTTATTAGTTGCAAAATGATCAAAATTTCCACGAATATGACTAATTTTAATTCAAACTAAATGAATTCAAGGAGAAACCTAATATTTAAATTACTAACTGCAAAGTAACCAACATTTTACAAGTACAAACTAAAATAAATTGAAGATGAATGTTGATTAGAGAATTTAACATGGAAATTATTAATTGCAAAATGATCCAAATTTGAATAAAAAAGACGATTGAATATTATTTGAAGCTAAATGAGTGAATGAGTAATCTAATATTACCATTTTTTAATTATTCGCAAATAATTTAATTTTTTTTCGTGGGACAGATTATAATTGACTTGATTTTGAAATTTCAATTTTTACTTTAATTTCGAATTTTCAATTCACTTTTTAACTTTGAATTATTGAAACCAAAAGAATTTAATGGACAGTTAAAATTAAAAGCATTTCATGCTAAATATGATTACTGTTGCGTGTAAAAGTTTCCAAATTTTATTTATGAGCACTATTGTTTAGTTTACCAGATCTTAATAAAATCTTTAAGAATACGTTTTTTAATAGATTTATAAGATGTATTGTTATTCAAGTTAAATTCAACACATGTTTTTATATAACTTGTATATTTCTTTACATGTGAGTGGAAAAGACCACCCTGGTAAAGGCGTAATAAATGAAAAAGAGTAAATAAAAATGGTAATTCAGTTAGAAAAGCCATTTTACAAGTTATAAATTGAATAAATTGTCATTGCAACTTGCTGATGAATATTGCCAGATCAAGGTTATTTACAGTGGTATTGCTCTAAAAATGCTCCCATGAAATATATATTTTGCATTGGTTGAATAATGTAGCTATTATTTAGTACAATCCCTTTAACATTAAAGTAAGACGTTGGACCTGTTTTACACCTGACACTCCCATTTTACCCGCCTGTGGGGTAAAAAGGACCAGGATAAAAAAAAGCAAAGCAAAAAAATACATATTCACAATGATGAGAGTTTTATTGAACATAGTCAGATAATTGTTTGTTTGATTTGTGGTATTTGTTCTTAGGTAATTGGTTTGGTTTTCACAATATAATTGCTTAAAATCAAATTGAACCTTTGTGCCCCGCTCTACTCTATATCATTGAATGATAAAATGAAATTTACAGTTGCTTATAATCTATATAATAATATAATGGAAAACGCGTTTTGCTTCGTTCTTTACTTGATTTGGCTTTTACTATTCATGTTGTTACTTATAATTAATATTTAACTTTAGTAGTTGTGATAATGTATGAAGTCAGGAAATATTGTCAAGACGTATATCATAATAACAAAATGTATAGATATAAATGATTTTATTTAATAAGTAATAACTTTTTTTTCATACTCACGCTCAAACTACCCCATCCGGATACAGTGACCTTAGAATTTATTTCTGGCTCATATCCATCCTCTGCCAGTACCGCTGCTTTTATATTTTTATCAAATCTTAATGGATAAGCTAATTTCACAACAGCTACATCATAATTTGTGAACTTTTCATTATAAAGTTCGTGTACTGTAATGTCCTCAACATCCACGATTATTCCTCCGTGATAAGCATTTGTACTTCCAACTCTGACTTGAATTTCCGAATGATGAGTTACACTAATAATAGAATTTGATAAGGTAAATATTAGTATTTTTGTTCTAAACTTTTTTATAGTGCAACGTTATTTGATTTCAAGTTTCAAGATGTTCGGATAAGATATCTGCAATTTGCCACTTGTAATAAGATAATGAACATTAATCAATTGTAGAACATTCCACGGCAAAATAGTAAAACTGATGGGAAAATACGCGATGTTGAAGTAGGAACATGTGCCAGTAATTAACAACTGCAAACTTAATTAAACGATTTGTTCAAATTCGAGTAAAGTGCTTCAGAAATAATTTAACACTTAGATATTTTAAAAATAATTCTATATTTTAATGCATTTATTATTACTAGAAAATGCTGTACTGTACTTATTAATTCTACTTGAATAGATACGATGACTATGTGAATGATATTATCCGAACACTTTTATTAAAGAGTTGATAATGTAAGAAAAACATTGAATGTAAATTATAGTAAAATATCGACAATGAATTTATTAATGAAAGCTTTCATCATAATATAACATAAATCTGTAAACAAACATGCTGAAGAATCAATAACTCCAGGAATTTGAAATAGTGTCTATAATTACGAAGAGGTTTTAAACCATAATTATTATTATTATTTCAATCATAAATACTCAAACAAATAACTGTAAATTTATACAATTTTTCATATCTGCCTATTCAAATCCGTTCATTCGGGCTCACGAAATCGTGGACGAATTTTTGTATCCAAACATTCGTACATATACACATAGATATATATAAGCATATACATCCATTTTTAAGGTATTCCAAATTATTCAGGTGAATTTTTTGCGATTACTATAATTTATTATACAAAAATCTTAAAATATATGACGAGTGATATAAAAATTATTTGTGGCAATGGGTTTTTACTATAATAAATTATTAAAATCACTGAAAACTCTACGAATCTAACAATTCAAAACCATTCTTGAGTAAGATCTAACGCCATAATAAATTTTGGCATAAAAAATAAGTCTGTTAAATATTCAATATAAACTAAAGAGAAGCTCTTTGCCAAATTTTTCTTTCAAAACAAAAAGGTAACAAATATGACTTTAAAATCCGTCAGATCTAAAACTGCGCGTAGATATCTGAATAAGCACTAGAAGCAAATTGGTTAAAACCCAAAGGCAAAAATAGAAAAATGTTTTATCAGAATAAAATAAAATTTCTAGACTAGTAAGTGAATACTCATAATATACAGAAAAATTTAAAATTAATTGGGGTACAATTATAAAATAATCTAATAATGAAATTGTGAATATTAAAAAGTGTACGCAATTTAATAAATAAACTAATAAAATGTATTGACACATATTCATGTCGATGCTTAAATTATATTTAAACAAGATTTTTTTTGAGGTCTGTTTGCTTGATTTCAAATCTTTAGTATTTTTCTGATTGGCATTATTAATAAATAAGATGATGAACACTAATGATTGGTATCATTGGTATCAACAATATCAGGTGTAACACTTCGGCATTACAAAAAATATTTTAGATTTTTTTTAAAAGCTGTTATCGACAGCATTACTGCTATCCAACAAATTTATTACCATTTATACAATATCTATTTAAATTATAAATATTTTGTATTAGTTATTTTAAATAAAACTGCCAATTTGAAAAAAATTAGAAAAATTGTATATAGGGTACAGCAGGGCTTGAAAAAAGGCAGGTAAAAAGGTCCAGTACCGATATCTCAAAAAACGAGTAAAGTTAAGAATTTTTTAAGTACAGTATTTGAAGGGGTAAAAGTAGAGGTAAAAAAAGATGTATAAACAGACACCTTGATTTCGACGTTGCTATTAGGAGATAAACGTTAATGTTTGAAAATTCACAACAACAATATTTTTGTTGTTGTTAGTTTTTTGGTTGTGAACACTGTTGTTTAGTTTATGAGACCTAAATTCACATTTTAGGTATACGTTATATAGGATGTATTATTAATTTTGCGTTAGATTCAACAGTTTTTTTATATCACTTCTAAAAAATCTTACACGGAGGTGGAGTAAAAAGGATCAACTGAACATTTACCCACGCAAAGATGTAAAAAATAAGAAATAGTGAAAAAAGTAAATTAAGTTAAAAAAGCAATTTTACAAGAAGTAAATTGGATAAATAGTTATTCTAACTCTGCTGATCTAACAAAATACCAGATCAAGGTTATATACGGTGTTATTTCTGTAAAAAATGTACTCATGAAATTTCCATTTTCATTGTTTGAATAACATACCTATTATTTCGTAAAATCCCTTTGAAATTAAACATAAGACATGGAACCTGTATGTTTCTTGGCCGTCCCATTTTTATCGGAGTAAGAAGGACCACATGACAATTTATTTATTTATTTTACAAACCGTCAGTAAAATTGGGAGCTGGGAGTTTTACTGAACGTAGTCAGATAGTTGTTTGATTGATATGTGTTATTTTCAGTGATATAATTGATTTGGTTTACAAAATATAATTGCTCAAAGACAAATTGGAACTTTGTGGCCCTATATATATTTACCGCTCTACCCTATATATACTTACATATATATGTATTTGTGAAACCAGTATTTGAAATGACAAAAAATTGTAATAGTAGATATAACGAAATTTTATTTAGGTAAAAAAAGTATCCGAACGGAATGTATATTCAACATAATTAGTAAATTCATAAAAAATTAAAAAAAAAAACATTTTGTGAGAATAATCAAATTGAATTGTGAATATATATCAATGAAGTTATCTGTTATGCCGAATTATTAGTCAAAATTTTTTCTGTGATAATACGCGTTTGGATAATTTTCAATGTTTTAAATGATCTGAATTTTTTTAGACATTGTATATAAATATGATTTGAAAATGTTCAAAATATACTTACTCATTGAAACAGTGTGCCGCAGTAAGAACATATTCTTTATTTAAAATAACACCTCCGCAATTATGTTGATTGTATCTCAAAACTGATACTTGATAAGGTCTTTCATTAATTTGGGTAGTTTGTCCCCCGACAATTCTGTTCTCTTGGGCCCATGGCCATATGTAACTAGGTATTCTAAATCCTTTAAAATTATTAAATATATTTTTTATACCCTGGTCATAAATTGTGTACCTACATTTTTAAATACTTATAATAATAAAATCTTATAATTCATTAAATTGAGGCATTCTTTTTTCAAAATGTGTTAATATAAAAATTTCACTTACCCCAAGCAGAGGTGAATGCTAAGCAGAAAATGATGCTGATAAGCTTCATTATGAAAAATCACTTAAAATACGGATTAAACTTAATGCAGCAATGCCAATAATGTGCATGTGCAATTTATATATATTATCAGTAGTATTTCTTATCAAGCACTTCAAATTTTTACGAATGTCTGTTATCTTTTACAATCGTTTTTATAAATAAATGAATATCCAAACCACGTTTTCAATTAGATCGTCATAGATAATTGTGCAACATAGGAATTTTAGTCCAATTCTGGATCAAAGTGGACAATTCACTGCAAATGATTTTATAATTCATTCTCGAAAAATCTGAGTTTATAAATGGCAACATAATTGTTTGGACATGGGTTATTACTTTGTATATTCTAAACCAACATTGATATTTTTTTTTATTTCTTATAACCAATCTGAAACATGGGATCAATGAGGTTATTTGCTGACGGGTACAGGGCTATTGGAAATTTCCCCAGTGGGGAATTTCCTTACATAAATATATTGATTGTTAATTTATTAAATCTTGCGGCTACTGTCTATTTAATCTTCTCATAGGTACTTGTTTTAGCAGGTCTTTTATTAGAGTGTTTGGATGGTTGCGCTCTTTTGATGATATTTCGTACTTCTCTCCTTGATAACTTCCTGTATGAAGTTATGTAATTAAAAACAAATGAAAAAGTACGCATGTAAATAATAACATTCTAAAAAAATATATGCATGGAAGAAAAAGTACGCAATGAATATCAGTTAAGAAGAAAATGAGGTGCACGTAAAATGCTGTTCTACCATACTTTTTATTTTATTATTATTATTGAACAGCTTTCACAACTATTCTATTGTGTTATATGAAATTCAAAGTTGTGATATATTCCATGACAACCCAGCATTATTACAAGTCAATTTAATTTATGTCCTTTTTTTTAAAGATATTATTGCAATGATCTAACATGCTTCTTAGATTTTTATTTCAAACGAAGAGTAATATCACTAGTAGGATTTGTCAGATCAACTATTATTTTTTATTTTACTAATTTAGTCAAAAACTACTTTAAATCACACATTTAAAACTGCCGATAATTTTTTTGTTATTACAGATTATTCGAGCAAAAATAGAATAATCCGTTTTTAGACTTCTTACTTAATATAAGTTTTGGTATTTTTCAGGTGAGGATATTGACAATAAATAAATACTATTCAATATCAATTCCTGTGAAATCTCAATTTGTATATCAAAGTTATTGCAGCATTATCAATGTTGGGCTCACATGGAGCGCTCACATCAGGACAAAGCGTAAGCAAATAGACAAAAAATTTCGTGAACTTTACTGTGTAATTGGAAGAAGATCCAAGATGTCATATAAGAACAAGATTCTAATATATAAAGCCGTAATTGTACCAATATGGACATACGGTATCAAGCTATGGGCATGTGCGAGAACGTCCAATATAATAACAATTCAAAGAGCACAGTCAAAAATACTACGAACTATAGTGAACGCGCCCTGGTATGTCTCCAACGAAACAATTCGAGACCTAAACATTAAATATATACAGGAAGTTATCAAGGAGAGAAGTACGAAATATATCTTATTTATTTGTTTTATTTTCAGATTACACATGCAGCCCTTTTTAGGATGTAGTGTGAACATCAAATTTTGACTCTCATCACAAAAACATTGCTCCACTATTGCAGAAATTTTTGAGTATATAGATGATCAAATATGCACTTATCTGCTAGGTATCATTTAAATGTATTTTTAAATGTTTGAAATCGCTGCTTCCTATTACTTAGTAACACATATTGGAAAGTTTATGCAACTTTCTGTAAGGCAAAAAACCTCTTACATTTAGTTCTAAATTTGGTTTCAAGCGATTTACAATGAACGGATTGTCGAGAAAACATAAAATTAATATGGCAAAAATAAATTTCTTCACTAATAGAAATATCAATGAATTTATTTAAAAATTATACAAAGGGTACATGTGCAAGGAAAATTGTTAGACAGTTTACATTTTTCAAAATATTGTTAATATTTATAAAACATATATTCAATTTAATGGAAGTCATTGTTTTTGTAAAGCAAGAATCCAGTGTAGGTGGGGAATGGGTGGTGGGGATCCGCGAACATATGTTCCGTAAGATGTTACATATGAAAAAGGAAAAGCGGGAGTATAAGGAGCTACATATTTTCCGGATGTAGGTTTAGGCTGATTAACAAAAACTAATAATTTAGCTTTTTCGACTTCTTTCAAATGAGCAGATCTTGCCTCGACTACTTCAGGTGTGTCTTCCACTTGAGTTGGGACATCTCCAGAAATTGGGGCTACATAACCTGCTTTGGCCTGCTCGACAGCTTTTAAATGTTCAGCTCTAGCTTGAGCAACTTCTGGTGTATATTCAACTGCAGATGGGACGGAACCGGAATCCTCAGGCAAATTGGTGGCAGCCACACGGAATCCGTTAACTGCGTCGGCGGTGTAATGTACGCTTTGGAGTTTTCCTTCAGGGTCGACATAGGAATAGGATCCACGTGTCACTCCGTCTAGAGAGCGATGTTCGGTCTTTGAGTCAAAACCGTTGTTGTAACCGTATGCATATTGTCCAAAATCGTCTTGTGAATGATACTGGGTGCTCAAGTGCCCTCCTGCGACGTAAGGAGTAGCGAGGTAAGGGCTCGCAATGTATGGAGTTTGGTAAAGAACTTGTGGACGGGCGGACACTGCCGAAAAGGCTACTGCCACAAAACACAAAATTGATACAAGCGTCATTTTGTGTTCTTAGTATTGCTTGTTGTAACTATGTGTATACTATGAATATTCTATGAAAAAAAAATCGTTTATATAGCAATATGAACATACTATCCCTATAGACCTTGATAGTAACCAAGGCCGTTTTGTTGATCACAGGTATTTGATAACATAAAAGACGTTGTTCATGTACATGTGCATTTAAATTGTTGATGCATTGCATATGTGTGTATTTGGTTGACTCGTTTCAATTTCGAAATAAATAACTGCAGGTCATCGCTCTTGAATTTACATATTACTAGTTCAATTGATTTTTAAAATAATTAAGTTTTAATTTTAAACAAAAAGCCATTTGGTTATGTGAGTTTCTTGTATAAAAAGTAATCGAGAAATATATATATATATATATATATATATATATATATATATATATATATATTAGGGCGGGCCGATTTGTATGGGTAAAAAAGTCAAATAGGCACATATGATTTTCGTATACTAGGGATCAAAATAAGGTACTTTGCCGAAGAAACCATATCTCAAAAATGAATTCTGATGTCCCGTGCATTCACCCAAAGATTGGGTCAAATTTTAAAAAATCCTGTTTTGGCTTATTTAGAGCGCCTCAATAATGTCCAAATGTTTGACCGACCGCCAGTTACTTTGGAAGGCCGACCTACCCATGCTCCTGGTTCACCCCCTAGGATTTCCCTTTAGAGGTACCTCATACAAAAAATGCCTCATTTTGGGTCCTTCAACATGACAAAAATCTGCGAATTATTTTTATTATAAAAGTTATTTAATCATAAGATATGTTAATAAAACTATATAAAACTCATAAACTATTGTTTGAAGTCTTTTTTAGTTTCAAGCCTGGAAAAATTTGCACGGCTCTCTAATATCGTCGCCGTAACAGGCTCTAGCTAGCATAGACAAAATGCATTGGAAAAATTGAAACAAAGAAGAATATTAATATTATTTTTGTAAAAAAAGTTTTTTGTATGTGTATGAATTAATATCTGAAAAAAATTGTTTAAAATTTTTTTTTTTGCTGAGTAAAATACCAAAAACGATGATTTTTTGCAATATTTGTATGGGAGACTTCTAAGGCGAGGTCCCAGGGAGTGAACCATAGGCGTGGGTGGATTGTTCTTACAAAGTTAGTTGGGGTTTGTTATACATTTGGACGCGATTAGAGTACTCTGAATGAATTAAAACTTAATAATGCCACTTAATAAATAGATTAAACTTACATAATGAAATACTGCATTACTTAACTTTCAAATCATAATTATTGTATCAATAAATGATTTGATTGTAGTTGTCTAAAAACAATATTAAAAATTTGTGCTATTTGGATATTAAAACAGTCGAAATATCTAACTGACTATTTTATTGTATTTTTTAAATTATTGGAACAATATTAAACTTATTATTAGTTGTTAGTAGAATTTTGTACTTAGGCAAGCTGCGTGAACTTCACGATACATGTTAATAATCGACTTTTATCAACAATAATTAGATTTAGCTATTTTGATAAAATGTACAACTGGTTATTCCAAAGATAAAGATTTCGCTTTCATTGAAAACGATTTTCAATTGATATCCATGGAACATAGTTATAATATCTGTGATTGTGTGAATTAAATTAATCTGTTTAAAGGGCACAACTAGTGTGAAATTTTTAAACAATCGAATTTTCAATTTTTTCATATTTCGATAGGTTACACCTTCAAAAATAACATATCAAAATTTTAAATCGATATCTTAAATAGTTTTTGAGTCACAGCCATTTAAAGAGTATTATATAGTATATAGAATAACGATCATTTTATCTTTAAACGCTTTTTCTCGAAACAGCATTTTCCGAATTTGCTGCAGAGACTACTTAAAAACAAATGATTTGATCACTACCAATTTTTTTTACATGTTCTATATATAGTTCTTCGTGAAATGAACTATCAATTTTTTGATCGAATTAAAAATCGAATTTTGGCAGTCCAAAAACGACCCAAATTTTGGGAAAAATTCGACTTTTTTTAAAAAAAACGCCGTCATTTTGTCAATTTTTTATTTTTTTCTTTATCGTAGTTCATTTTACAGACAATTTTATCTAGTTTAACGAGATTTTTTTTTTAATTTCATCCACGTAGAAGGCCGGAATCACTGCAGCAGTGAAGGGCCTTTTTTTTGTCGCGCCGTTGGAGATCGACGATAACTTAAAAAATATTTAATTTTTTACTATGTATTCTTAAAATATGTATAAATATATTCCTAAAATTTTGAAATGATTGATAAAGTAGTTTTCTTAATATAAATTCCCAAAAATCACCTTTTTTTAGGCGGTTACACTAGTTGTGCTCCTTAACACACTTGATTTCATCCATTTTGTGATTAAAAATATATTTTATTATGTGTATATTATTGTAGATTCGCATAAACGAGCGTCAAAATCTAAAGTTTGATGAATTTTCATAATTTAACCGCTTATCGTAGGCATATAACATTTAAGTATGTTTCTTCAGACTACCTACACTTGCCAAAAACCTCTTTTTCAACATTTAATTACAAAGAAACGATCTTTACAAAAACTAAGCAACAGGATAACCAATCAATGTCTTTAGAATAGTTTTAGAATTACTAACATCGATTGAAAATTGTGTGATAAAACGTGGACAATTTTTTTATACTTTTCTGCTAATTTCGCGAAAACATAAACCTCTTCTTTGAGAAGTTATTTAAACATTTGGTTGCTCAATTTGGAAAGTACCAGTATTTTAATTTTATTTGTTAACGTATGATTTATTACAGATAAAATTCCTTAACTGGCATTTACGTCTTTTTTATTTTTATGTGTTTTTTTCCTCATAAAACCCAATATTAATAGATTTTCGAAATCTAAACTGTTATCAAACACGTGGTGTATGACAAGTACGCGGTAATTTATAATGACGTCTCGTAATCTAAAACATCTTAAATTAATATTTTAACTTCTCCTGCAATGGATTTTCCTGAGTAGTTTCACTGAATTAATAGAAAATATGTTGAGTATGAGTAGGTTCAGAATGATTGCAGTGCTAAATATATCTTTAAACTTAATAAATATCAATCTATTATCAATAAATATTATTGTTTTTAAAAATATTTTTTTCCTTATTATTAAAAAGTATAATCAAGTGAATTGAATCAGTTCCATACTATTTTTGGTAGCGAATATAACGTAATATAAATTTGTACTTCAGAATTATAATAAAATAAGTGCGTATTTTTTCTTTTACTTTGCTCACAGATTTTATATATAAATATATATTACATTTTTTATATTTTTTTATATTTGTAACTCGTTTAATATAAAATTTACATGATTGTAAGAATGTTTGAATTTTTTAAAAAGACACAAATAAAATTTTAACGCGTATCTTAATGTACGAGTATTTTAAAGTTTTTTCGTATTTTTAAGTTTTACGCGTTCGTTATAAAACGACTTCAATTCGCGACTTTTTTATACTTTGCCATACTGATGTTTAACTAAACAACTAAAATAACGTTTAATTACAAATTGTTCATTTTCTGGTAAATTATAGTTTATAAACAATACTGTTTATTGAATAATTATTATTATATTTTGAAGATGTATTCATATAAAATATAAAACTATTAAAAACAAGGAATAGTTAAGGGAGTATTCTAGTGTAGAAATTCAAAAAAATCGAATTTTTTATTTCATATTTTTAAAGTTTAACTATCTAAGAATATGAGTACGAGAAGGTTTTTGAACATTTGAATTATTTTCGGACATATATGCATTTTACTGACTGGGTCGTCATACTGGTTTTGGCTTCACGCAAAACTTTAAATGCGTTTTTCTCAGAACAGACTTTTTCAGTACTGTTGACACGATTTCTCGAGTTTTACACGACCGATTCACTTGAAATGTTCAGAGAGTCTTGTTTATAGACCTATCCAGTGGTGTTGTCGAGCCGGAACGCGCCGGAACGTCGTCGTTCCGGCAAATCATTTTTGGAAAGGAACGCGTTCCGGCAAGAAAAAATATAAAAAAATCGCTACATACAGAAAATAATTTAATAAGTAAATTTTATGAATTATTATTGAACTAATTTTTATTAAATGCTCTTATTATTGTAATAAACATACATATATGTGCACACAATGGGTTTTGTAATAATTTTTGTTTCTTTCCTTTTCGAACGGAACCGGAAAAAACATGAGAACCGGTTTTTGAACCGGTTTATGAACCAGTTTTTAAATTTCAGCGCTCCGACAAAGAATATTAGCACAACACCACTGGTTTCATCAAAGTCGTTTTTAATTTAGTTACAAATTGAGGTGTATGAACTGAAATATTAATTACAATACAGTAGTGTATTTCAAATTTCACATATGTTACTTTAAGACCGAAAAGTGTCTGATGCCCGATTATTTCGGATATAAGTTGGACTTGTTTCGGACATAGCGGGCATTAGTCGAATAAAATAAATAATTTAAGACATTCGTATAATGGAAATTGATTGTATCGAAAAAAGCAATTCTATAAATACAAAAGCATAAGAACTGCAAAAAAATGTGATATTTTAATAATTGGATGAATTTTTTGCCATCTAAGGCAAAAATATAAGCCGTTCGATCGCTTGTAAATTTTTACAATCCAACATTTATTGGTAATTTATTTTAATCATTGTTTTATTGACATTTATATATTGGTAAATTAGTTGACAATTTATAGCAAAAGAGTTATCCTTAAATTTCAATAGACTTATTGTCTAAATTTCGGCCTACAATTTGAGATTTGTCTGCATATTCATAGAAACTTTGATCTTTTAAAAATCGGATGAAGGTGCTGTGGAATTGATGATCACTCAATTATGGATTAACCTGGTAGTAGATTAAAAAATTGTACTCCTAGACTAGTAATTCCCAACGTGGGGCACACAGAAAAATCCATTTTTAAATTCAAAGGGGGGAGGCACATTAAAAAATTACACGACTTTAACCAACTTGCT